GATGTTTAAGCAGGCATCATGGAGGTTTACTAATGATCCTAATGAACAGCGTGGGAAAGTTTTACTCAAAGTAAATTCAGGAAAATAGGTTACAGGCATGCATGTATCTGAGCTTAACAACTGAAATGCCGTTCTGTTCATAAAATTATGTTTAAGTCATAAAGGGTGAAATAAAATGCTATTTTAAAAATGATTTTCAGTAAAAACATACATAATGTCTCCTTAAAGCAGGGTAAGGTTAAAAAGCTTGATCCCAAACTTTGATAACTTCACAGAGGTCTCACAGAGAGCTGTTCATCATCTGACAACAAAACTACCGTAGACCCACTGAGATTGGCTGGCCACCTGAAATGACTGATTAACTGAGGACAGGGATGCTTGGTGAACCAGGCAAGACGCCTTTAGGGACTTTCGAGGAGCTACAGAGATCAACAACTCAGAAGTGAGAATCATTCAACACAACTGTCTTTCGTGCACGCCACAATTCCATACGTTAAAGAAAAGTGCAGATACCGCTTGCTGAAAGAAGTTACACAAGTCCTGTTTGAAGTTAGCCACAAGCCACGTAGTTGGACACAGCAAACCAAGAAGAAGGTGCTCTGGACAGATGAAAATAAAACTGAACTTCCTGGTTTACATGCAGATTCCTCTAGCAACCTCATGCTGTTGGGATGTTTTCCTTCAGCCAAGCAAAAACGATGGGAAAAATAAGGAAGCCAAAATATACCTTGAATTTTACTTTCTAGAAGGATAATTATCCTAAGCCTACGTCAATTTTACAATATATTTATCTAAACCTGGCAGATCAATGTCCCAAAACACCACAAATACAATAAAACAATGTAAAAACGATAAAATAGGTTTAATTTGTTGGTGTAATTTGACAAAATTTAAAGAAGGATGGGCAAGTGGATTTTTCGTACACTAATAATAATGAATATTTTTATTAGATTTGTTATTTCAGATTTTACAGTACTAAGGGAAATTGTTTATAAGCTAAATGCTATGGGCATTCTCTGACTTCTAATGGTCTTCTCTGTGACCTAATGTACCCAGAGCAGCTGTGTTAGGGTGCTTAGCAGCATGAACTGAATGTCAAGCTAATGCTTAGCTTGATTTGTGAACTATTACATGTGAAACTTGAGCGTTTGTTAAAGGGTGCACATTCTAGCATTCCCAGCTCATTCCCTGTGCTTTTTAGCTTTTGACGTTTTGGCTCAAGACAAAAAAAAATGTAAAAAAAACGTTGGAATTTTGTAAAATGTAAAATTACAACTGTTTAGAGTGATATATGAATCCTGTTCAACCAAGTAAACAAGTAAGTAAGTAAAGGTTGATTTATTTAGCACCTTTCATGGACACTGGGGTGTCAAAGTCAGCACCAAATTTTAAAATTAAGGTTAAAAAAAAACAAACAAAAAAAAACAAAACAAACAGAAGATGGAGAGATTTTAAAAATGGAGTAATATGGTCCCTTTGGTCGGTGTGCTTCACCACCCTAGCTTCCACATTTTGAACCATCTGCCGAATGGACTGCTTTTCCTCGTTAAGACAAGAACAAAGGCTGTTAAAATAGTTTAAATTAGAAGAAACAAAAGCGTGATCAACTCTAAATCCTTTTTGGAAACAAATCTTCAAAGCTTTGAGATTTTCTTGAGCTGGATAACATTTGATTACACCCAAATTGAAGCAATTTGATAAGAAATACATTTATTTTTTTCCATACAAGGAAAAATTTGGGTGCAAAAACAAGTAGACAAAAAACATTTTTGTTTCAAAGAAGATGAACATTTTCAAAGTAAGCTGTACAGAGGAAAAGAAAAATGAATCTACTGTGCAGTTATTAATAAAAAAAAGCCTAAAAAAGATTTTTTTTTTAAATGGGTATATTAAGGAAAAATGCAGTCAGTGAAACAAGATTTATGAAAAACTGCTATAAAACACTACAAGGACAAGGTATTTAATTTCAAAATAACAGTTTTATTTCAAATATTGTTCCACATTTTCATTTATTTTAAATTTTATGCTTGCAAGATGTTAAAAAGAAGCTTAGACAGGGCATGTTTACCACTGTGTTATTTTCTATTCAACATCAATAAGCATTTGGGAACTGAAAACAATAATTAGACTCAGAATTCAGCATTATTAAAAAAAATAAAAAAATAAAATAAAATAAAATAAAAAAGAATTCAGCCTTATTTATCCTACCCCCAAAACATTGCAGTTGCACTTGCAGCTTTGTCTAAGTCAACATAGCAATCAATTGAGAAAAACAATGCAGTCCACAAACAACCACATTCCACAAACACTGTTAGTGCAACACAGATAATATAGAATAATGAAATAAAAACAAAAGCAATATCTTTGGTTAGTAGCCAACAGACCAAAGATAAAAAGCACTATATAATATTATATATTATTATAATTTGGCTGAGGGAATAATAATAAAAGCTTCATTATTTTATAACCCTTTGTTGGAGTAATTCTTTCTCATTGATGCACAGCTACAGTCGCTTAACAGTCAGATGAAGAAAAGTATGGACTACAGGCAGGTTGGCCTTGTACCCTCACTGTTTTACCGCGGAGCCTTGCTCCTGTAACAAGTCTAGAACATGGCTTGGCATTCTCTTTCTGAAAGAAGCATGGATGCCCCTGAAAAAGATCTTGCTTGAATTGCAGAATATGTTGCTCCAAAACCTGTAGGGATCTTTTCAGTATCAATGGTGTCTTCCCAGATGTGTTTGTTACTACCCAAGCACGCCTGTACATCATACATGTTGTCTTTTAGATATTCTGCTCACAACGATCCAAAAAGTCGCTTTCGTCTTTGCACAGGAGAAAACTAGAGCAAAGATTTAAACAACAGTTTGAAATGTACATCCATGTCAGATTGGCTCGGGCCCAAAGAAGCTAGTAGCATTTATGGGGGATTGCTGTTGATAACTGGCTTTTGCTTTGCATGACCCTGCTAACTTGTATCTGTAGATGTAGTTATAAACTGTGTTAAAGGTTCTCTGAAGTGTTCCTGAACCCATGTCACTAAAACTGTCAAAAACTTTAAGGCAGTGCCTAACCCTAACCCTAACTTGCAGAGATTTCTGCAGAAAAATAGACTTTTTATCATTAAAACATCATTTGATGAGCAGACTGAGACATCAGTGGTTCAGCATTAATGCATTTATAACCATGTAACCTATTTTCCTGAATTTACTTCGGGTAGGAATTTCCCGCAGTGTTCAGTGGATGGGACGTCAAGTTCGTCTATGTTGAATGAGTCCAACCTAGCAGACAATCAAGGTGTTAAAAAGTAAAAAAAAAAAAAACAGAAAAAAACCCTTGTCCAGTAAAAGCTACAAGAGCAGAAGAGTTCTTCCATTCTATGTTTTAACAACAGGTGGCAGTATCATTGGAAACTTCATAATGCACCTTTTACAGCACATTAAGCAACTGACTGACTTAGTAATATGAGATTTGTTTACATATTTTGTTATGCATATTTAAATCTGATAGTGATGTGTAATAATGTTCAACAGTCTATAGGTTGAACAACCCACCATTAGTGTCTAGAAATAACCATTTCCAATCCACAAATGGAAAAAAAAAAAAAAACTTGAGAAAATACACTACTTCAGAGGCCTGACTAAGACTAAGTACCACTGTCCTGCATGTTATATGCGTCCCCTTGCTTCCACACAAGTGACTTGTACACGTAAATGACAGATTAACAGACTTCTGCAGCACCTGATAGCAGCAGAAAAGGTTGTGCAATCATTTGAACCTTTTGTGCTACAACAGAGACATGTTAAACATGCAGGGCAATGCTACTTTAGGACGATTTTAGTCAACTTTAGTGAGTATCATCATTGTCTTTATCCCTCTTAAATGAGCATCCCTCATGGTGCCATTTTTTTTGAAGGGTACCTTTTGTTAAAAAGCAACTCGGACTTATAATAAGGCTTAAAGCTGAACTACCGTACCTGAATCAAAGCTTACTTTGCCCTTAATCCTTTTCTTTTTACAATCTTGTGTTGGAGGAAAGCAGGCTATATCCTGCCAAATTTACCATGTAGGTCACATTAAATGGGTTATCTTTATAAACCAAGATAGCATTTAATAACTTTACATTTTAAATAATCCATGAGTTGAAAAAAAATTACCAGTTCAATTACTAAATAAACTATTACTACTTTCTAAAGTAATCCTCCGTCCTATAGTGTGCATAACAGAAACCTGCATAATAGAATATGGCCATATGAAAAATCATCTATACTTCTACATGTAGCCAGGTATTTATCCAAATAATATATATATATTTATCTAAATAATATATATATATCTTATTTAAGTGGTACGATTATCTACAAGTCCTGAGAAATAATAAAATGTCTGTTGACAAAATTTATTTATTACAATACTCGCCACATATTTTTAAACACAGAAAATAGAAAATGCTGACAAATCTACAGGCCCCACTGTCACTGAATAGAAGTTTATTAAAGCATGATTTAGTAGGATATGGTAATGATGCTGCCTGGATCATTTGGCCTTATATTTGTTTTCAAATTATATGTTTAACAGACAAGTGGCATACATACAGTGTTTGCCATAAAAAAGGCACAACTCAAATAGATATAATCAGAATAGCAAATTTTATCTCATGTTATAAATAACCATTTTAATTTAATCAAAGAGCTACCTTATCAAATTGTCTGCTGGTATCAGGGGGCAGCCATTGAAGATGTAACAGGGAAGGGGATACATTTGATTAGCCTGTTGCTAAAGTTTCAACCTTAATATCCAAGTTTAAGAAGTTAAACTGCTTGCTTTGTCTTGTTCAAAATAAAAAAAATATAAGGGACTGGTGAAATAGGTTTTTAAATTCAGAAATGCTAACTTTGGCCAAACATTACTTAAAAAAAAAAAGATAATTATTTCAGAATAAGAAGCCTGTTTTTTTGTCTAGACTAGGATCAGGGGCAGGTGCTCTAGCACCACCTAGTGTCTATCTGTGCACTTCCCTGCAGAAATGCCCCTCCAGTTTTGCTCATCTGTGGATTTTACCAAACACGTCCCTTTTTTTTTTCTAAACAACTTTTAGGCAGAAAAATATCTTGTCTTTGTAGTTTATTTATTCATCACATTTTACACAACGTTCCAACTTAGGAACTGAGTTTATAGATGTACTGAAAGAAGATATTTATCAGCTTATTTATTTCAACAGAGATATAACCAATGTGTAACTAATACCTTTTTGAGCCAACTTAATGATGACAATTTAAAATCAAAACCACACATCTAAGAAAACATAACAGTCACATATAAGCAAGATTCCTTTAAACAAACTGAAGCATAGTAGTCACACAGTCAGAATGGAGCCCTTCGTGTCTTTTACAATGCTTTGTATACCTAATGATACATCTGGTAAAATTACAACATTGTTTTACATCACAGTTCCTTCTGTCGTTCATGACAGCTTCAAAGAAACCCATTTCAAAAGTGTGAACTAAAATAAAAAAGGAATTGTTACAATTAAATACAGAATCAGACACGCTGAGAAACGTATATTGCAGCTTTGCATCCCAGCTGGATTGCATTTTTTAGTAGCCAGTAACCAGGTAGCTGAAAAAAATTGAAAATAAAAACAAACAAAATTTAGTCATTTAATGCAATTTGAGTTTTCCAGTTATATAAACTTTATTTGGAGAAGTTTTCATAAAGTAGCTTATTATCTCATTCAAATACTAGAAACACACTCACTGATTCGGCATCGTGCTCCAATCCTGTGTCATGATGGTCCATTTCATCATCTCTAAATTCCTTTATTACCTATGGAAAGACCATAAAACAAACATATTTACATCACTGCACAGACTACCTACAATAAGTCATTTTATTTGTTGACAACAATTGTATCACATAAGACTTCAAGACATGATGTGTGTAGTTCATCTGAATATTTAACCAGTCATGAAGAATCGGCAAATGGAATTTTCTGCACTTCTCTTTGGCAGAAAATATAAGAGTTAACATTATTCTTCAGAGGAAATATAGCAGTTAGTCTATCAGCAGCAGGAGAGTGGCGGCCTAGTGGTTAGAATCCAGGGGTTCTGAGTTCAAGCCCCACTCCCAAAGACTACCACTCTGGGTCCCTGAGCAAGACCCTTAACCCTACACTGCTCCCCGGGCGCCACACAATGGCAGCCCACTGCTCCCAAAGAGGATGGGTTAAATGCAGAAGGTTTATTTTGCTGGGGTTTTTTTTGTGACAGTGTATTGACAATAAAAGCTGGGAAATAAAAAGGGGGAAAAAAGCATTGATGAGCCCAATTCTTAGATTTAGTCTATTATAGATCCTGAAAAGTTTGCTCTAGGGTTTTACATGAATTTATTTTACGTCAGCCTGAAACACCAAGATATTAACAACCAAGATTCTCATTTTAATTAAACCAGGATTCTCATTTTAATTACATACTCATGACTCCTACAGACCTGGTCAAAGTCAAAGTCAAAATTATCATTAGCATTTTCTGCCAGCAAAGGTGGCAAAACTAGCCAAGTAGGTTTTGCAGTTACTTTTTTCAGAGGGAAAAAACAGCAACAATGAAATTATTATTTGCCATAAAAAAGGCACAACTCTAAAATATATGATTAGCATAGAAAATTTAATGGAATGATATTGGAATAACTATTTTAATTTAATCAAAGAGCTTTATTTTCAAATTGTTCCCTGGTATCAGGTGGCAGCCATTGAAGATGTAACAGATGTAGCAGGGAAGGGGAACATGATTGATTAGCCTGTTGCTTAAGTTTGTACCTTTATTTTGAAGTTTAAAGAGGCAAATCTGCTTGCTTTGTCTTGTTCATAATTAAAATATTAAGGCACTGGTTAAACAGGTTTTTTAATTCAGAAATGCTAACTTTGGCCAAACATTACATTAAAAAAGGAAAAGAAAACTATTTCAGAAAGGCATTTTTCTTTTTGTCCAGAGGATAAGGGGTAGGTGCTCCAGCACCACCTAGTGTTTTATCTGTGCACTTCCCTGCAAAAATCAAGTAATGTTAATAAAACATAAAAAACTTTTTCTGATGAACTTTTAACATTTAAAGAGGTTAATGTTTCTGCACTCTGTCTCTGATCTAAATATAAACATGTAAAAAATTATTTCTCATCAAAATAAGTGTCATTATTGAGCTTAAGCATTTGGTCAAGAACAATGTTCCCACTGAGCTGCCCATTTGTGCAATTGCACACTGAGCACGCCTTCTTAGCGCATAAGAAAATCTATAAAGTGCATTAAATAAAAATCCAACATAAACAGCACATCGACTAAAATAATAACATTTTTTTGTATCATTTAGAATCCGTATATGAGTCGTTTTACAACTTAAGACAACCAATGAAAATACGAGAAACAACTGGGTCCAATTTACACCAAACTGTTGCTTAAGTCTACAAGGTGTAAAGTCTCATTTCTGCCACAGCAGGATTCTTACATGTGGCATACTACACATCTCCTGGTTTCATGGCTTTTTTTTTTGTTTTTTTCCCCTTTTAAGTGGGCAAAAACCACTTAAATTAAAAGTAAACTAATGGATATTACAGCTGCAATTTATCATTCATTTAAAAACTCATGCAACTTGCAATGATTCCAGGTGTGTCTATTTGTATATAGTTTTAAAAGGTCTGCTCTCATTGTGCACATCTGATGTTGCTCACAGTGTTCCTTGGTGAATTCATGGGGCTTGTGTTTATGCCCGAAGTAAACACTGGCAGCAGGTCTCAACAGGAATTTAATGAAGTCATATTAAATCAGCTGACCTTAGGTTTAGGTTTCACACCCGACAATGTTAGCGTTAGTTAGCCCTCAGGGGAAGGAATAAACAAGGGTATTAGATTAGGTTTGGGTTTAAAGTCCAGGTTTAGGTTTTCGCCAAAATATCCTGTGTGAAATTTTATGTATGACAGAATTTTTATTACACATAATTCAACAGTGAGGAAGAAAACTAAAAACAGTGTTCACATATATGTCCTAAAAGCAATAGTCAGGGTTTTTTTTTTAAATACAAAACACAATTAAAAAAGCAATTTTAACTAAAAGAAAATGTTAAAAAAAAATTTCCCCATGTATTGTAAAAATGGAGATACTCTGCCCCTGCAGTTGGACGCTGCTCCATTTTGTGGCTTCGGACAGTTTACATGTGTGTCTTTGGTGGCCGGCTTGGTAGAGTTAAATTCATTATGTTTATTGGAAAGTATTATTATCTAAATTGTTGCACTCACTTCTAACAGCTCAGTGTATCTCTCTGGATCCTGCTCCATCAGGGCTCTGATCTGGCTGTTATAGTGTTCAGAGATGCTCTCCTCTACTGCCACCGTGCACGCCATGGCCCCCTCTTTACCCAGCAGAGCAGTGGATGCCCCTGCAGGATATTTAAAACAAATTAACAGAAAATGAATCTTTTTAAGTGCTGTAGTAAGAAGCTTTGTAGTTTTCTTATGCATTTATTTTTGTTTTGAATGATAGCTAGATAAACAATGCAATTTTACACAGTGCACCAACCCAGAGCAAACCCAGCCAGGTTCCAGAGAGGCAACAGAGCTGTGGGTCGAACTCTGTTCTCAGCAAGGATTTCATTGAATTTTGCCAGATGTTTTTTTTCTTGATCCCACATTTGCTAGAAAAAACAAAAACACAAAACAGGTAGTAGAAGATTACAGTTAGAAGAAACAGTGACCCTGATTTTTTATTTATTTAACCTGTTATCATTTTTGATTATTTTAATCCACCATGAACATGAAGAGTGCACATAAACAAATGACAGTAGAAACACAATAACAGGTTTTTATAATCTGAGCCAAATAAAAGGAGAAAACTGAGTTAAATGCAACGTAAAGTGATACGCTAAAATTAATGTAACATACATACATACATAAATATATATATATGTGTGTGTGTGTGTGTGTGTGTGTGTGTGAACCTGTCTAGCCGTTTTCCAATTTCACCAACAAATTAGGGACCAGTTGTTGCAAAGTGACATTTTGCTGGTCCTCACATGCTATTTTGCTAATGATTAAGTTTAGGGCTAAGGTGTCAATGGGTTAGAGTTAGGGTGAGGTATGTATTGTTAATGGTTAGGTTTATGGTTAGTTTAAGGGTTAGGGTTAAAAATGACTGAAAATCAATGGAAGTCGATGGGAGTCAACACATGGTCCTCACTATGATAGCAGAATGTGGGTGTGTGTGTCTTTGTGTGTGTTTAAGATCCCAGAATGTTGCTGGTACCACTAAATGTGAATCTTAAACCTCTTCGCATCTAACTGATTATTGTGGCAACTCACAGATTAAAAGATTTTTCCTCTCCACTGTCGCTACAAGTATGCTTAGTGTGAGGGATTGCCTTTTGGTTAATGAGTCAATGCAATAAACAAGTTTTTCCTCAGATAGAAGACTTTAAATCAGTTTGACTGTATGATCTGGTTGAACTGTAAAGTGCCTTGGGATGACATGTGTTGTGAATTGGCGCTATAAAAATAAACTGAATTGAAGATCAATAAGGTTTACTGTGCGCCATGTAGCTGTACCTGGATAAGAGCACCAGTCCTCGATCTGCCCAACACTGCCATCTGTCCGGCATAGATGCGGTTAGCACCGTATTCACCAGCATGGTCCACGCGCAGCATCCGGTGCACCATCTCCTGCTCCTCCCTGTCGCGCGGTGGAGGAATAACACTGTAGGCACGAGAGCTGCTCTGGAGGGAACCTAAGAAAACATTATGATATAAACACTAACAACTCGACCAAACCATTCCATGATGGAGACTCAGGTACTGCTGGAAAGTTTTTCTAAAACTAAGAAAAACATTTCATACTACCCTTTGTCCTGCATAAATACATTTCAGAAACTTATATTGCTATAGGGATATTTTTGATCCAACTTCTTAAGAAATCATCATGTCTAGTTGACTGTTACATCATGGCTACCTTAGGTAAGTGTTTTTAGCATATTAGCTTCACATATTAGCTTTATCAACAGCTCACCTGAGCATTTTAAACTCTGTCGGATCATTGTTGGTCTGACTAACTGAGGCCAGTCGCATAAAGTTGCGCATGCAGCTCTGTGCATTGCGGTTATCGAAGAACTTAAGCTCTACTATAGGAAAGAAACCGAGGGAAATACATGCAGACTGACATTGAGCGTCAGCTGATAGAAGTAAACGCATACTGATGACGTAAACTCTTGTTACAAGAGAACAACCCACTAAGGCAAACCAATGTACTATTTAATTTAAGGAATGTATGACCCGTTTTCTTTTCATTGATTGTGCCACCGTTCCGGAAAAGCGGAGTTTATTTAGATTTGATTAAACTTTGCTCATCATTAGATAAAGGAAGGTCTAAATGAGGACTCTAACTTAGAGTAACAAGTCTAAATACAGGTGTTTGCCTCATGGTATTTATATGTCGTATGTATTATTTATCCTTTGAGGGAGGGGCACAACTAAATGTTTGTTAGAGTTCTTGGTAAAAGTTTTGTATTTCGTTTTCTACTTTTATAATCTATTCAATCATAAAAAAATAAAAAATAATTGTTGCTGATGTTGCTGCTATTTTCAAATATTCATGACTGTAAAAATATCCTTAGCTTAGCTGTATGTTAGCTATTTATTCTCCAGGTGCACAGTTTTATTTTGTTAAAACACTTTACAGCACAGTATTTTATTGTCAAAGTCAAAAGTCAATCAATCCATCACTGTGTGCGTGAATTACTTAATGTAGTGTAAAGAACTTTGGTCAAGTCTCCTGACTTGAAAAAGCGCTATATAAGTACAGGCCATTTATCATTTACCAGTCAATCAAACAATCAAATGATTGGTAAATATTTGTGTATTTATTTACTTCTTTTCAATTTGTATGATCATAAATAATAGAATAGTGGTATTATGGACCTATCAAAGGACTAAGAAAGTGCTTAGTAAATGTATTTGTATTGCATTCAACTTTTCAAATGTTTAATTTGTATGATCAGACAAGCGTACAAACATATGCTTTGCATCTATTGGTACCTGGTATCTATCAAGAGATAAACTGTAAACAGCTTTCCTAAGATGAAAATTTAATGCAGCTTAATGTATGATAAGTCAGTGGTGGGTTTTTCATACGTTCTTTGACCCACCTACATATACATATACATATATATATACATATATATATGTGTGTGTGTATAAAATAAAAGAATTTTTTATTTTTTTTAATAAAATACTTTACTGTACAGTTGTAATAAAAAAATGTAACAATGTATGAGTGACTGTGCTTTGCAGCATGCATACCTCATATCAGAGTATTACTCATAACCCCACTAATAATATTTAAATACACTGAACAATTTGTTTGTTTTCAGCAAAAATCAAACAAAAAACATGTGAAAAGTAGTTCAATTTAGCAAGTTAAAGTTGATTAAAATTGATTCTGTGTCTGCTTAACACATTACACTCAGCGGACAGGATGGCGGTAACAAAGCCCGTCAGCACCCATAGGCGAAAACGGTCGATGTGGGGCCTACTCTTATGTCTATGGGGGCAGCAGTCTAAGCAGGGACTCCCAGATATCCCTCTTCCTATACATCTCCTCCAGTTCCTCTGGGGAAAGCTAAAAGTGTTCCATGGTGTTCCAGCAATACTTTTTTTCCTTGTGTCATTTCAATGTATTACACATAACTTAATTTCTGGACATCTATGGTTTGGTTTCTCTGTATGTGTGGTTTGCATGGATTGTTGCCAATATCTTGTTAGAATTTCATGTCAGCAGCACCTCTAGAAATATGTTTACTGAGAAAAATTGTGACTTATTTTACCCACTGTATGTTATTTAAAGTGAAGTTCAGATTAAAAATAGTTATTTAAGCCAGCATGTATATTTGTCCCTTTAAGTTCAAATAATATTTTTTTCCTCTGTAGCAGATGAAGAATCTAGACCAAATAAAAGTGGGACCCAGCTTACATATGGGTTTGGTTTGGGCCAGATTATTACTCATTGAAGGCCAACATCTGGCGAAGTTGCGGTAAACATCAGGGTTCCATGTTGGTAATAATGAGTCAACTCTCTCATTCCACAGGGTTTGTCAACCAAATATGCCTGACCCATGTGGGCCAAAGCTAGACAGTATGTTCTTTCCTGTACATTTCAGGCTTGCAAGCTGTCTCTTTTTTATATAGCAATGGGCATTAAGAGCAAACAAAGCATACGGTGGAAGATTAAACTTATCCTCCTGATACTTCGCCTGGCTTGTTAGACTCTCCAATGATTTCGTACAAAAAAAACAATGTATGTCGCCTTGATGTGCAATCAAGTATGGATCTAGTTATCTTCAAACGTATTAATTTGATCTTTAGCTACTGTTTGCAAGGTGTTAGGCAAATGAGCTTTGCGACTAAATTTTATTATTTTTTTCAAATCTAAGCTTTTTAAATGTCTATGCTGATTGGATTAAGTATTTTAGGTGGTATTTTTAAGTCAAAATGACCTAAAAAGATATTCCAGAATTAAGAAGGGTAAACACACAGCCCTTTTCTAATTGCCAATATATTAGTGAGTGATCAAAAGATTATCAACCGTTTTGTTGTAATTAATAATTGGTCAACAGGATCTCAAGGTTTTGAGAATTAAATTTCAATGAAGTTTAAAAAGACTGAAAAAAAAAAAAACTTTAATACCCTATTTTCCCCCAGTACTCTCAGTTTCAGAGGTACAACCTACCTGGAACTACTCAGACAATGAGAGCGATTGCCAAGGTAAAAATCAGAAGCTGAAACATAAAAACATAGCCCAGAAAAATGTCTGAAGGCTAGTTCAGCAATTCAGATCATCCATTACACTCATTTTTGGGCTCAGCTTGTCATGGTTTTGGTTCTGTTCAAGTTTTATCTCTGACTTTTCATTGGCCTTATTTCCATTTTTGTGTTCTAGTTTTTTTTTAATTGTATTTGGGTTCTTACATATTTCTTATCTGGCCTCATATGTCAGTCTCCTAGCTCCCGTCTTGTCTCTGTTCACACCTGCTCCCAATCTGCTAATTAGCCTGGTCTTTGTTTTTCTTTCCCATATAATCTCCTCCTGTTCAGTTACTCTTGGCTGGTTTTTTCTTTACCCCCTTGTGAGTATTCCTGGTTTTCAGTATTTTGTATTCGATTGTTATTTGTATTCGATTGTTATAGTTCTTTTTTTTTTCCTCTTTACTGGCCGGGTCTTTTCTTGTGTGGTAAGGTACTCATCAGGGGTCATTGGTGGGATTTGATCCCATAGACTCTCGGGTAAAATGCTTAACAGTCAGCCAAAGGGATATGCCTGTGGCCAAGTAGCTAAAACACATCATCAGTCTGAGGCATAGTTTTTAGGAACCCACAATGTCACCTTTGTCCCCCTAACGTCCTTGTGGAATTTGTGGAAGTGTGGAGCTGCATGGTGGTATCACCTGTTGCTGGGAGCTTTGCACTTGAGGTCTTTCCACATGGAGTTGGCATGTTTGCCAATATCTGTAATAACATGTGTACAGTCCTGTGTTTAATTTTGCTAGTCTGTAACCAACTGGTGAGCTGTCTAAGGTCTACCACACCTCTCGTCCAATGACTGGAGACCGACACAAGCCTCTCAATAATGCAACAATAAGTGGATATAGAGAATATACTGTATGTGTTGTCTGAATAGGAGATATTGTAGGTTTAATCACACCAGTAAAACCAGCCAAAATCTTAGGTTTACCTTCAGAGGACATTTGGGGAGAGACACAGGTTATTTTTTTCTTTTATGTGAAACCAATAAGATTTTGTTTAACTGGACTTATTTAAATAATTCTTAATATGACCTCTGGAGTCTCTGCTTCTTTATTAATGTTCATTTGGTTATTGAGTATATTTTAAATAATACTCTAAATTTTGCAAGATACACAACTATTACGTTTTTTTTTGTGGATATCTGTAAGTGTTGTTTGATCAGTATATTTAAATGTGTGAAAACTAACAATTGTGTTTTTATCCACTTTTTAAGGTCCACATTTGTTTGACCGCTTTTTGCTATAATCTTTTGCTGCTGTAACACGACAGTTTCCCCATCGTGGGGAATAAAGAGATACAGGGAATAAAGGGATTTTCAATTCTATTCTATTCCATTCTAACAACTGCATGAAGGTTTTATCAAACAATGCAGTTAAATCTCATTTTTTAAAATATTTTAAGAGAAAGCCAGTTATCAAAGGGAACTGAACGTAACTGAACTGCATGTACTGTAGGAAGAAAAGAAAAAAAAGCTTCAGCTGAGAGAGAGAGAAAGATCTTCACATAATAAATACCACCCCTACAATGCAGCATGGTGCTGGCATCATTATGCCTTTTTAGTTGATAATTTTTAACATGCTTGCAAGAAAACATAAAAGATCATAAAATTCTAAAATATATTTATATATATTTCTACGGTTTATGTTACAATATGGCTGTAGCATAAAATATAGAAAAGTGAAGCACTGCAGTATGTGGACAATATTTCTTTTTAAAGCAGATCTTAACCCTACCCTTTATTTAAAAATATCTGCACAGGACCATGAGCTGCTGAGGTGAACAGGTTCAAAAGGTTAGATTCTCTGTCCTGTCACAACAATCTTGTGTCAAGACTATAACACAACACAAATAAATCCCACCAGCTAATTCAGTGCTCACAGTTTACTTGGCCTACACATATTTGGCCAGTGAGGCGCAAACAAACATTTAAAGGCGAAAATTACATTTTGGCTTAACTCTCTTTGTTTTTCTGAGTTAAACAAACTTTGACTGCTTCCTTTGTTTAGACATGTTATATAAGAGGCAATTAGGTACAGAAAATGAGGGCTTTCATACAGCAATTTGTGTAATTTTTGAGAGTCTACAGATGGCAGTGTAGCCTAGTTAAAAGAGGCAGAAGGAAGTTTCAGTTAATGGCCTCCAGCTGGTCCCACTTTTAAGGATGTCATTTATAGTCAACATGTTTTTAATCAACAAAGCTTTATTTAGGATTAGGGTTAAATGCAAAGAAATGTAAGAAAATAGAAGAGCCATAACCCCTTTCATTATTGTGCTTTATTGAGCTGCATTTGCAAGTATTTGTCTGGTTTCTGCTTTCAATGTGAAATTCTAATAAGAATGAATTATTGATAAATTGCATCTACACCTAAAACAGCTTGAATGCAGGAACGTGT